ACACCACGTATTGGGGAAAATTGGAGTTCAAATACCCCACCCCATGTACAAATTGGAAGCTACAGCATTTCGCAATTTTGGAATTTCATAGTTTTTCTTTCCTTCAAAAACTCTCTTCAATCGTTCAAAGCCGTTTTCTTGTAGCCAACCAAGGACAAAGTTAATTCCTTTGCACTTGAAGACCTTGAACTCATCCATTAATTATTGACGCCATTTTGGATTCTGCACACATGTTTAAAAGAAAAATTCAAATTCCCGACCCCCTTCAAATTCCCCACCTTCCACTAGAAAAAAAGGTCAAATTCCCGCCTTCTTAAAATACTAAACAAGCAAATTCCCCAGGTATGCCCGGGGGGGGGGGATGTCAAGGTTTCGATTTGATTCGCGCATAAAATGTACAGTAATTTACTCGTCACTTTGTTTACAATAATTATCACATGCATGTTTACTGCAATTCCACTTTTTGTTGCAAAATTTGAACTATAAACATATTATTAAATTATGTCCAATGTCCATGGTATATCATATATTATGTCTATGTCTCACCAAAGCCATAAATTTCAGTAAGTTATATTATTACTATATATATAGACTGTATACAGTGTATATTATATATTGCAGCACGAAGCAATTCCAAATAACTGAATTAGTTAGCGGGTAATATACAACTTTAAACTTACTGTGCCTACAGGAAAAACACATGCAGATTGTAATAAAAAGTACAACTTCATATATTACACTGTAAAACCTCGAGCCGTTTTAACTTTTTTAGTATGCCACAGTGGCGGTCTGTATACGAAACTATTAACGAATTTGAAACGAATCGGTTATGTTTACAATATCGTAGTGTATTCCGGTCTGCGCTGATTGGTTGTTATTAATTGACCTGTGACATCATAATTGAAGGGCGGCACGCAATCATCATAGGGATCCTTGCAGGCTCTCTTTCCCCAGAGAGCCTGCTCGCAGGCTATTTCATCTCTGATTTCTTCAGCCTCGGATTGAACTTACAAATATAGCTTTAAACAAATCCATTGATGGCTTTTCGCTCCCTTTCTGCTCAAAAATAGCCATTGCAGCAGATATCCCGAAATATCACTTTTCAAAGTTCGAATTTGAAGGTATTTTTAAAAGTTGTCAATGTCCAATGAGTCTAAATTTTTAACTCGGATGGTAAACTATTCCAACTTCCAAGCCACTGTTCCTCTATAGACTATACTGTATTTGGCTTCGGAAGTGCAAAATTGAATTCAGCATTCATGGTCATATGTACTGCAGGGGCTATTTAATTTTTGCAACTGCTCCTGGTTAGGATAAAAGTCCCGCAGACTCACAACTCGCATACTAGACAAACTCAAATTCATTCATTTATCAAATTCCCAATTATTAAAGACCTAGGTTCTTCTTGGATTTTCTTGATTAATTTGGCACATGGAATATAAAACATCTCTTTCATTTTTCGACAATGACGTCATGTCAGTTTGGTGGTTGGAAACTGAGTACTGACAGTTTGGGACCAGAGGTCACTGAGAGGTTTGGGACTTTGCCACAGCCACTTTACTGTAACAATCTCGTTCCCCGAGCCTGCGATCCTCGGGAAGGAACGCGAGGCTCTGGGATCATCCGTTGCTGGAAGCCAGGAATCCTGACTAAGATTGAACTGCGCATTCCATATCAACGGCCAATCAGATTCCTGCCTGAAACGGATTATCCCAGAGCCTTGCGTTCCTTCCCCATTGAACTAAAAATAACTGGAACGCTACGTTCAGTAAACTGCGCATGCAAATTTTGAAGCCAAAATTTGACTCCCATGAAGCCAAATGAAGCCAGTTTTGACTCCCAGACACGCACTTCCACGCGTGTTTCTACTGCGCGATTTACTCGCGAGACAATGCAGGGGGCGCTCGAAGCATGCCGTTTTGAACGTTTTCATGGCAGGATGCAAATCGAAAGGGAAACGGGCCTTTTCAGTTTAAAACGGGCCTTTTAAAGCCTGTGTACGACCTTGTAGAATTTAGCTTCAAATTTCCGCTTGAACGTAGCGTTCCAGTTATTTTTAGTTCAATGTTCTTCCCGAGGATCGCAGGCTCGGGGAACGAGATTGCCACTTTAATAGTTTGCTAAGTATGGCCACAGATGGTATGGGGGCTAATATGCCAGCGAAAAAGGGCGACTTTCCTGGTGCAAAAAATATGCCTGAGAAAAACAAAACAGTGCAGTTAAATGTCGGTTATTCCGACCAAGAAATGGAAAAAATAAAGTTTGGTATTATTCCTCGAGATATGGATGACAGATGGTTTATATATTACGGTGAAGACGAGGAAACCCTGTATCTACATCGCAGTTGGACTGGTTTTTGTGTGTACATGGTGAAATTTAAGAATGTTGACAGTGGTTTTGCTGCTTTGAATACTGTGGTTAATGAAGATCCAGAACAGTATAGATGTTCTGACGATGCGGAAGAAAAACGTAGATGCCTCGACTTGATTGATATATTATTGCTTAATAAAGGGTGAATATATGTCCTGGAAACACGGTTGTTCAGAGAGGACACGGTATTACACCTATTAAGTGGAATTGGTATAATGGTATTAATATATTCAGGGCCCGCGGAGCGTATTAGAGAGTGGGGGGGGGCTAAAGGGTGAGCTTTAATTAATTTAGAAAGTTTCATTTAGATTTCTATTTTAATAATTTTGGCTGTCAAAAAAAGTGGGGGGGCTAAAGCCCCCCCAGCCCCCCCGTCTCCGCGGTCCCTGATATTATAGAATGGTTGACATATAGGTTATCTAACACTTGAACTTGAAAATCAGCAGGTATTCTATTATTAAAATATTGAATGGGAATGCTTCAAAGTAACAATCCAGCCTGTTTAGATCTACAGGGTGTATCAAAAAAACCGCAACCTCGGAATTTCCTAAGAAATCATGCAATTCTTACAGTCAATTTCAGCTGACTTTTCATCGTAAGATTCCGAACTTCGTTCCGAACTTCGCAAATTGGTTGCCAAGTTCAAAAGTTCATAATGAAATTCACAAACAGGTTTGTAAACAAAGCCTCTGATTGGCCATTAAATCAAACCAGCCAATCAAATGCCCAGTTTACAAACCTGTTTGTGAATTCATTATGAACTTTTGAACTTGGCAACGAATTTGCGAAGTTCGGAACGAAGTTCGGAATCTTACGATGAAAAGTCAGCTGAAATTGACTGTAAGCATAAAAGATTTTAGGCCCCTGGGAATTGAAATCGAATTGCTAATAGATCATATTACTGTTGTTGTGCATTAAATAAATGCATAAATTTTGCTTTATGCACTCGCGTGTGCAGTAATTTTGACAGTTATGCTATTTTAAATTCCCAGGCGCCTAAAATCTTTTGTCTTTAAAACAATGTCGATGTCTTGGGAAATTCCGAGGTTGCGCTTTTTTTTATACACCCTGTACTGTAGACTGTGAAATTTTGAAGCTTTGAAATGGAAATTAGTACAAAATATAATTTGAAATTGAAAATACCCCCCCTTTCCTGTCTCCTGACTCTCCTCCCTAGCTTGATGTCCACCACTGTTTTATAGTCGATAGAGGTCAGTCATCAACATTTATGTTGAAATATTTTTATTCAAATCAGTTGCTAATTTGAAACTACAGTAATTATTGGATTATATAAAGTCATTCTCTGCAATAACAGAGAGTACAGCAACCAGCAGCAAAAATTATTTTTCAACAAAAACAAATATTTTTTTATACCCAACTTTTTTCCACCCACTATATACTACACCTCTGCTATTCTTCTTAGGCTTCTTTGCTGCTGACTTTATGCCTGGAAGATATAAACTTCTCCACCCATTCATTGCCATAGATTATGCCAGGCAAATATTTATCTGCCATCTTCCAAAATGTTGTATCACACTGACATGCAAGCAGTTTACTCCTTGCTTTATCCTATCTTTCAACTATTTTCACTGACATTGTACATATAATTATGATTTTAACAAAACCAAAAGAATAATTATTCATGCATTTTCATCAAAATGTAAATTTAAAAAAATTTTTGTTAGCACTGGTGAAAATAGTTCTTTACATTGATTGACACCATATATGTACTAATTACTTCATTGAATAAAGCATCTATTATTTATTTGTTGATGAAGTATTTAATAAACTGCATGGCAGTATTTCTGATTTCTTTCTCTAGTCAGTGTCACAAAATTGGATTTCCAAGATACCAAGCGACAGAATTTTAACTGTGATCTTAATATCTTTCTTTCTTGTACATGGTAGTACATATAATGATAAAATTATCAGTGTAATTGTGTTTTCTACATATGTAATACAGTGGTGCCCATATTAACAGACACTCTGCAGTCATAATGACCTAATAATTGCCCCTGACTAATCAGCCCCCCCCCCCACCCCAATACACAATTGGTTCCAACACTAAGTGTAGGTTCCAACACTAGGTCATTATGTACCTTTCAAACTTTACAGGCTATTGCTAGTTTACAAATTATTGGGGGGGTGGGGTGACAAAGCTAGCTGTAACAATTATTTTTCAACCATGGAAGCATTGGTAGGCCAAAAATCAAGCTAAATATTGCATGACAAATTGTCTAAGGAGAAAAGTACAATATGTGAACATGAAAACTTTAAGTACTTTATTGCACTGCCTCTACACTACAGATTAATGGCTGATCGCATTATTAATCCGCACCCCCCCCCCCCCCCCCCCATTGAGGACATGTGGAATCTCCAATGGCCCCCTGCAAAAGTGAACCAAAAATGAAGGAATTTCCATGGGAGGGTCCAAATTTTAAAGCAAATCTGCGGAAATTCCAAAGGATAGGTAAGAAAAATGAGTAAAACGTATGGAATTTCCATGGGAGGGTCAACAATGGAAAAGAAATGCCAAAGGATAGGATATTAAAAAATCAGCAAGGAATTTTTCCAAGGGATAGCTACTAATCAAAGAATCAATACGGAATTTCCACTGGCTAGATAAAAAACTGTCAAGGAATTTCCATGGGATGGGTTAAAAGTTCATCGGAAATTCCACAGGGGAGGCTAAAAATTCGCTTAAAATATGTGGAAATTCCAGGGGAGGGGGGACCAAAAAATGGATGTCCTCAATAGAGTGGTGCGGATTAATAATGCGATCAGCCAATATGTGTATAATGTAGACAGTGGGTCCAACATTAGTCGCGACAGCCAGATAATCTAAACTGAAAGAAATAATATAAACTTGTCGACGATTCAAGCAAAAGCCTTTAGTCAAGAGAATTAATACTGTTGACTGTTGTGAAAACGGCCTCGAAACGTCTTTAAGTTTGTATTCTTTCTGTTTAGATTTAGTGGCTGTCGAGAAATTTTCCACACCGTTTTATATTCTTCATGTATAGCAAGGTACACAGGTACAAGGACTTTAAATAAGTTTAATACTATATATAACAAGAGATCATGAGCATTCAATTATAATCTTAAACATCAATTGCTAAAGTTATACTAATTTTAATATTTTTCAACTATTAATTGCGAGGAGATAACATCATATTAAACAGCACAGTATACTACAGTATGGTATAGTTGATGGTCTGCCACTTGCCAATTCTGCTGACCAACTCTATTACGCATGAGCCAGCGTGCTCAATAAGTCGTTGAGCGCGCCAAATCATGGAAATATAGCCTTAATTATTAGCACAGGGACTGTTCATTAATAATTATAGCTGGGTGGTACCGAAGAGAAATTGATTGGGTGACATTTTTGTCGACTAAATGAAAGGTTGAATTTTACATTTTGACTCTTTTGTATTGTAATTAAAGCAGAAATAAATCCTTGCCAATCAGCCATATGTTGTCATTCACTAAATTAATGAAGATAATAATGAAATGTTTCCCAAAATGAAGTGCGATTCATGTTTATTCCATACAGTTTATCAAGAATAGAACACTGGATTGCTTCTAGTGTTACCATGCATACTGTTGTATGTTGATTATTCGTTGGATTTCCAACCATGAAATAACAGTTAACACCATATCTGTGTGTGATGGATATACTGTTGGTGCATGAATACTTGATGGTTGTGAAAAATTTATCAATTTCATTTGTGTTTCAGTTTCTCTTCGGCACTGTTCCCAGGTATAAATATGGAGTTCTACGTAATTCTATATATCAACGTTCTTTTCATGTACAGCATATGGGCCGGTACACATCAATTAGAAGTTATTTTGTAATAAAATGCTTTCAGTAATATGTCGAATATCTGGCCTTTCACAACAACTGTTAATGTTATCCTACCAATTTAATAAAAATGAAATCCAGAAATGAAAAAGCACCTTGATATTAATCAAACTGCAAACTTTCAGATCGTATTTTATATGATTTGTATATACAGCTGATTCAATTAAGGCAGACTTTCCAAAGTCCTTTCCGGCCAGACCCCCCATCAGCCCCTTCGCCATCTCTCCCCACTACAATACTTCATGTAAACACGTCATATGGGCATCACTGTTTTTTTACAAAGAGACGCCTGGGTACGAGGCAGGGCCAGACCCTTCGATGGCGCGCTTCGACTTGTGGCAAGTCTACAATTAAGCTTGTCCTTCCAAAACCTAAACCTTAAACTCCGAGCGCGCAAGGGATGGGTTTTCACCTATTAGGCCCTTAAACTCAGAAAATTGCCTTTGCAGCAAGTATGTTTTCTGTCGTGAGTCTTCTACAGGGTGTATAAAAAAGAACGGAGTCGTCCTAAATATCCTTATTTCTATCGTAAAATAAACTACCATACTTTCGTTTTGTGCTCAATTTAAAGCTTGTTTTTTCATCTTTCGAATGAAGGATTTCTTGAAAATTTTGAACTAAAGCTAATCGCAATAAAACTGAAGAATTTAGTACAAGCGCTCGTTTTTAGATGCTTCGAAATATTAATCTTCGAAGTCCCTTGGGGACTTAATTAAAGGTAGTTTGCTAAAATTTAGAAAGTTGTTATTTAAAACTTTACAATCACCATTTATAATGCCAAAGCTAACAATTCCGGAAAGAACATTCATTGACATTGTTGAAAAGTATTTCGAAACAAAAAGCGTTGTTGCAGTGTTAAGACAATTCCAAATAGCTTTTCCAGGACGTAATCTTCATCGAGCGTTTGACGTAATGTCAACAAATACCGGCTGCATGCATTGAATGGAAGAACCACCTCATAAAATTTAAATCGAAATCAAAAGGAAACTCGGGAAGAAGAAGAGTTGTCTCGGATATGAGACAAAGAACGAACTTGTGTGAACTTAGAAATGGAGGCCACGTTGAGTAAATATGTACTTCCAACTTATTTTTTGGAACGTTTAAATAAATTGTGAATTCAACACATCTACGTTTTTTAACTTTGCAATTGCACCTACTTAAATTGACACAGCTCGCCAGCAATAACTCCAAATTTTAAAAATTAAAGTATATAAAATATAGCCGAAAGATCGCGATTTTGAAAGAATGCAAGTATAAACGTCTAACTTTCATATTCGCTTTGAAATTTACACTTCATGTGCGGACTCCGTTTTTTTTATATACACCCTGTATATGTCTTAGGCATTCTTGCGAAGCCAAATTTCAAAGTTTATGAGTCTAAATAAGCAATAACCCATCATCCCTTGCGCGCTCAGAGTTTAAGTTTTTGGAAGGACAACCTTAGTTGAATTAGCTGTATACGTATAGATTTGCAATTGCGTGGGAAAACCGAATGACGGGCAACCTCTATACCAGGTGCGTAGGTGCTCTTTTCTTTCATTTCTTGATTCATTTAACATAGGCGAGTTGGATGAGTCACGTGATCAGTTAAAATTAAAACAAAATACGGATGATGAAAGGAAAATTAATATCCTTCTTTAGAAAAAAAAATAGAAGTTAACATGGGATATTAAGAAGATTTGTCAGCGGGACACTTTTTGAACGGGAAAGAGTTTCTCATTAATGTTTTCTTCTCAATAATATCAGACTGAGTGAACTTTAAATATTGACCGATTCGAAAACAGTATATACCACAATTTTGCATTATTTTATATTTTATGCATTATCAGGCTAATAAACCATTTTTCAACAGATCATTATTTAAAGCAAAGTGTAAGAATTTAAGATTAAAAATAATCCGAAATTACAACCCTTTGTCTTTGAAATGTGAAAAAAGCACCAAAACGAGGCTAGTCAGGCTTGTTTGCTAAATGTAGTACAAGCTCCAGTATTTTTATGATTTCATTTCTCAAAGAGAATACACGGTATTATATTTATACTTTGTAAAACTGTTGGTCTTGAAGTATTCTATAAGGCGGCAGTGATTACCTTAAATTAAAATTAATTAAAATTCGTTAAAAGTAATTTCAGGAGAAAAAGAATGACAACTATTTTCCGAATCGGTCCATTACAACCCAGGTTTACATATCGAGGTAAATTATCAAATGGCATGCAATCTGTTGTAACTTGATAATTTGTCCGCTGTACAGTGTACTGGTTGGGTAATAGGACTTCGTTAATCGATTTATAATCCATTTTCATAATAAGATATATGTGTACTTTTAAATTAAAATCCTTACTATTCTTTACTCTTGCCGAAGCGTAAACAACCATTGAAAACAAATGTGCCCTAGCATTACAATGTGGTCATCTATTCTCCAAATAATCTTTCACAATTTTTAGCAATTTCGATGCTGCATCAAACGCCGTTTCTGCTTGATTCTTGTTGAAAGCCTGAGCTGGCACGACATGACTTGGTTGACGGTTTGGATAGCGAGTAGTTAGGTAGTAGTCCATGACTCGTCTTGCAAATTCGAATGCCTTTTTCGTTACTTCAGTTTTTTCCCCGACCTTACGTCCAATTTCTTGCAGATCGTGAGAGCCAAGTAATTGATCAGAGATGCCATATTCCGCGAATAACAAGGCCTTGAAACATTTTTCCGCCACCTGGTGACTCTGGAAACAGACGTGAGAACTGAATGGTGGATCGGATTCAAGCAACCATCTCGCACTTTCCAAATCGGTTTTGGATTGTTCCACCCAACGTAATGCTTCTTCGCGGCTAACTGGATACCATATATTATCATCACCATTTCTGAAATATAATCATTTCGAGAAAATTGTAATAGAATTGTAACATCCATTGAAGGCATATTATTCCATTCCTAACTATAATCTTGATCAAAAGGTGAGTTCTAAACTTTAACTGAGATTAGATAAATATATTTAATATTATAATAAATTCTAAAAATAAGCTATTACAATGTTGGATGGCTACTACAGTACAATACGATGTAATAAAAGTTTTGTAACTACACTATGTTTTTTAAGAGTTATGTACAATGAAATGTTCAAAAGTAAAGTTAAACCTGTGCTTATTTCTTTTAATTGGTATTACATGGAGGAAGTAAGCTGTGAAGTCTATGACAATCACTGGTCATGATATCTTGGAAGAGTTTATCGGTTGCATCCTATCTTCTTGCATATAAGAACTGGAATCCTGTGGTAGATAACGACTCGTTATTAATAGCCTTGAATTTTATTTATGCTTTGTTAACTATATATTTAATGCTTGAATATATCTTTTTATAGTTTTGCATCCATGGAAGATGATACGCATTGCTCATAAATTCTATCAAGAATCTGAGCCGTATTACTACTCTACTCTTCAAAATGTAGTAAAATCTTACCTTGAAGGTCCACCACCACGTCCACCACAACCACCACGTCCACCACGTCCACCACCTCCACCACCACCTCCACCACCACCACCTCCACCACAACCTCCACCACCATATTCACCGCCATGATCTCTTCCCATCTCACCATCATCGTCACTATCCAACCCGGATAACACATCGTCGTCTGGAGGAGTGAAATCAGCAGCACTTTCAGAAAGGCTTTGAGGAATATCAAATCTATTTAACTCTTCAAAAATATCACTTGGAGACGAACAATCGAGAATCGCAATTAGTGCATCCATTTTCTGTATACAATCCCCCAGAATCTTGTTAACGTAACCAGCAATGCGTGTTCGTGATTTACGGTTTTGACAGTCATGCTGCATGTACAATGACCACGTGTCTTCTTGTTGTGTTGCATAGCAACTATCTTCTATATGAGATAGCACTGTACCAGTATCATGCCGAATAAGCTGAACCTTAATACTGCGAATACCTACACATTTAATTTGGACATTGGACTGCAGCCTCTTTAGTCTATGTTCAAATTGTTGTGAAACGTGACCAGTGTGCATTATCAACCGTTTGAGCCCTTCCTGAAGTTCATCCGATCGCAATAGATGTTCGAATTGTTGTTGAAATTTGCATACGGAGCTCTCTTGCGCGAGGAAACAAATGGAATCCTTGCACACAGGATCAACGTCTTCTCGGACTAGGTCATTAAACTTTACTGGACGTAAATGCTTCGGTAAGGCATCGATATAATCAGCGTCATTTTGTAGTTTGCATTCCTCAAATCGCAACAGAATGGGGCATTGAAGCTTTTCAATTTCGGTGAGAAAACGCGATGAAACGTTGCAAATTAGGTCGCAGGATTTGACAAGTCGTTTGTTTTGACTTAGTAAATATAGCTCATCAATTGCGTCGGCATTTGCACGTTTCAAAAGTGATTTAAATAGCAAATACATTGCAACCTTAACTTTATTCTCCTGTTCGGTTGACAACTCATCTTCGCCAACCTGTTTATGTATAGCATTGAGAACGTTGGCGATCTGTAACGGTTGAATTTTCTCTGTTGTGCCAAGTCGTTTCAGAAAATGTCTAAAGACCATCAGCTCTTCTGGTACAGGATATAGAAACGGCTTAAAAGCGCAATTTTCAGGTAAATTAAACGCCAACTGTTCCGCTTTAACAAAAACTTTGTCTTCATTCAAAAATATACAGGGGATATCTCGAAGTTTAAAACCAATACTCATACAAATGTTGCTGCACTTATCCGTTAAACCGCTACCACATGATTTTGTGAACTTTGATAGAAACTCATAAATAGACATGGTGATTTGATGTAACACATTACAATTAAGGGCATTAGGACTGTAGGTGGTAGCTACGTTTTGTAGATGGTGGACAACTGTGGTATCTGATGGTTTTTGGCAAATCCCAAGAATTTTTGATCCTGCGATTTTGTCAGTCTTTGCCCATTCAGGGAGTATTGAAGCAGATGTCCAGGCAATATTTCTAAAACACCATGGAACTGCATTCCTGAATTTAATAAAAGGCGGATAGCCATTTCTGGGACACTGGTACTGCTCATGTATCGATGTTAGTTGCTTCTCCACTTTGCCTGGAGCAATAAAATTGATCTGCGATAATTGGGATAGGAAGTTTTCGTCTCTCGAGGATTCGTCCTCAGAAAATAGACACTTTACTAACATTTCCGATTGTTTGTGTACTCGTTGGTCTTGTGGAGAAGATCTTCCGCCCTGAGCAACCGTCTTACAAAATTCTAGGAATAACTGTTGTGTGATATTAATACGGAGGCCGATGTCTGCAAGAAGGTCTAACCAAGCTCTATCGTTGAAAGGTGCAGGAGGAAATTTACCACATTCATGTTCAAACATTACCTTGAACAACTCGTTGGATGGATCATAAAATTCTGCAGCTAAATGAAGATTACCATGTTCGTCTGGAATACAGGCATTTTCAATCATACTGTTGAGAAATATCTTCTTATCACTTGAGTCACCTTGGGGCAACCTAGGGTGGACTTTATCTCTGATGTAAATTAAATGCTGCATTTGGCTCTCACGATTAAATATGCTGAAATGCCTGAAAACATAGTCTACGTAAAACTGTGTGATGTTTTGACCAGCTTTAACACCAAGGTCGCTGTAAAGTTCCCCAAGAGCAGGTAAAGCACTGGAATCGAGGAAAAGACAATTTGCCTTCTCTTGGAGCTCCTTTAGCTGCAGTAATGGGACACCCGAAGGAATGAGAGCATGCGAGGAATATCGGCCAATTAAACTCACCAACTGACCGTCCAATGCTTTGTGAAATGGTAAACGTTTTATTACATGCATGTATACTCGCGATCTATTGTAATTATCTTGTACAAACCGGAGAAATTGAAGAAATTCTTTATCATTTATTTCTGAATGGTCGAGCGTCCCCAAATTGAGCATATGGTCAAGGACCATCAAAACGTCCAAACAGTTGTGAGGGTGTGCTACGTAGGGATCAGTGACGGATGTTTTTCTCTCAAGGACTCTTTTTATAGATTTTTCTGAGCTGCTTTGGTCTTCGGCAAGTGAAAACGATTCGACGTCTTCTTTAAAAGTAATTTCCTTGTTCAACACTGGGCATTTCAGATTTTTCAAGAACGTGCGAACGTTTTCTTGCAGTGCTGACTCGGTTCCTGTGACTGTCATATCCAACACAGTATCTGCGTTTTCGATTTTCACAAGTTTTCCACATGTTGTTGGAATCAAGGGCCATTTCGATAGACATTCTAACATGTCATCAGGGTCTTCTTCGGGCTCTGGCTCAGCATAGTTTTGCAAGAAATCCCAAAATCTTTTGAACCACTTTTCAGATAGAATTCCCTCGGGTGGGAATTTCCACGTTTCATCATTATCGATGTTTCTCAACACTTGGTTTGTGAATACATGTTCTAGTAACATTGCAACGTCTTTCACAGTAAAAGTTCGGACGACATTCTTTTTTCCATCGGTGCCAGCCAACGGAATTTGATTGACTATTTCCGAGTGAACAAACCGGTCTGCATGTGTTGGGAAAAGATCACCAAATTTAGAAAGAAATACTTGTTGACGTGAATGAAAGATTCTAAGGTTCCCATCCTGTGTAAGAAGTAAAGGGAGACCTTCTAACTGTTTGCTGAAATCCTTGTCTTCACGACAATACTGGATCAACACCGACAATTCTGAAATACTCTTGAACACTGTCGTTTCCATTTGTCTCGGAAGTTGGGTAATCTTGCAACCAGGGCTTCGTAGAAAACCAGCAACGGTCTTTGGAGTAACTTTATGCGAATTCTTGTCAGCTGAGAGAAACCCACGATGTAACCGAAAAGGGCAGTGAAGTAAGACAGGGAGACCAATTCGTATCAACAAATGCAGAAATTCGCTCACAGGTGCATTGGGTGCGTTACAGTTCACAAAGTATGCTTGGTCACTTGAAAGCCAATCAGTGTGTGTCACATGTACAGGTGGTTTAGGCGCTTCATTCATTGACGGAAAGAGACTATGGTTAGCTTCGGTTGGGACTAGTAACGGCAACACTTTGGCTTTTGTCTGGCCCAGGTAACGGTACAATTCAACAGCAAGAGTCTTCCAAAGAGAATCCGTTTTAACTGTTGGAAACAAAGCATGATAATTTGAAAGTTGGTTGTCATCTTTGCTACCATACCTTCTAGCTTCCATGATCAAAGCAGCATAGGCGCGTGGTAATACACAACTCTTGACGAAGTAGTTCCACTTAGATTTTTCTCCCTTGCCATCTGTCTCAGTCCAAAGCCCTCGTCTGTGTCTATCTAGGGCAAAGTGACCATTAACATGAATTGGAAGAGAAGTGTAGTTTTCTGGGAGCGGTAGAAAGCAATACACCATGCCACGCAACGCTAGCGCTTCTTGTTTGTTGGAGGATACTGACGTTGTCCAAAGCCGAGCAGCCAAGCCACCACGTGGAAAAAGTCCAAGTTTGCGACCATCGGGAATTTTAAACTCAGTTTGACCTTCATCGGAACTGTTGCTGGTTGTGAGACATTGAGTGGTCGATCCAATACATTGTTGTATCAACCAGTGCTCGATTTTTTCGTCGTTTTCTTTTACTTTAAGTGTGTAACCTATTCCCTGCCATCCAATTTCCATTGTTGGAGTACCTTTGAAATCGCGGACGTTTTGTGCTAACTTCTGACGCTTCATTTCATCCTGTGGAGTGATAATGGTCTCAACTTGATGTATTTGATGAAGCTTGTTATTTTGACCAATTTTCGAGAGGGTTATTCTTTTGATATGGTTTAGAAATAACAGAGATTTTCGGGCTTCCTCTTTAAACGTCTGCAGGAGATGTTTCATATCAATAGGCACATTAGATATCTTGGATTCATATTTACTTCTGAGTGGGAAACGGAACATTGTGGAGCCTTGTAAGTCAAAATGATCAGCTAGGTATCCATCGAGTGTATCAGAGAAATCATTCCGAAATCTTTCATCAATTGGCGAGAACATTTCACCAGGCTTATCAGAACTTGCAGCGACAGCATAACGGCAGTGAGGATCAAGTAAAACGAGGGTATCGTCATTGGTCAGAAAGCTTGGGCAGTCCGTGAGATGATACACAGAATTAAAACCAATTCCATATTTTCCAGTCATCTCGGGGCTATCTCGCTTACCGCCTTTACCAAGTTTTTGAATTCCTTTAAGGTCTTTCTCAGTAAACGGTTTGTTATTATACACACAAAGGGCCGGTCCTTGTATTTCTTCGGATGTTTGTTTTTCTGTCACAACTTTCTCACTTTTCAGCATTCGAGTGTCATGTATGAAATGTATCTCCGAGGCTTCAGCATCGTCGGCGTTCTGCACGAGTTCTTTCAGTATACCTTCTGCTGGATATCCGTCCAGAATTTCTTGCAGTCGATCGAGTAATGATTCGTTTTGCCCGAAGGACACACCGATGGATTTCGAATACTTTTTCAATATGACATTTTTCAGTAATTTCGCGCCGAGGGCATGGGCCGTTTGTGGTGATATCTTCTCGTGGACGCTTACGTTGTCATCGAGATCCCTGTATTCCCTGAGCCATAAATTTAAATTAACAACGACATCTTCGCTTTTGCGCAGAATTCTATTGGTATCCGGTAGTGGGATTTTGCCAATGTGAGGCTTCACAGTAGGTTTCTGGACGTCTTGTATTTGATTGATAAAAAATACTGCAACTCGTAATTCATTTTCTGTCAGGATATTTTCTTGCTTCGAACTTTGTAGATTATACAAGCCACTGATGTAATCTTCTTCATCAAACGACTGCTTGATTTCCATCGCCTCCAACAAAAGTCGATAATTTCTTATGTAAATGGCTGGAAGGGTAAATAAAAATGGTGCTCCATTCCCGGTTGTCGAAAACGCTACCTTGTTGCTTGCAACAAATTCCCCTTGAAGGAACAACCAATGTCGCTTCCGCAGCTCATTCAGAAAACACTGATTTCTTGCAGTTTCCTTGACGATTATATTATTGAAGAATTCGTAAATTTTCTGGCAAATGGTTTCTATAGTGGACCTCGTATCTTTCTTTGCTTCTTCAGTTCGCGTGCGCCAGAACTTCAATACTTCATCCAATTGATTAATTACAAACTTGACTTCAGGGACACGGCTTGAAAATCCCAAGAGATTTTTCACGTTAGCATTCAACGTCCCAATACCACTTTGTTCAGATGTGTTAACTATGTAACAGGATGAGCCAATAAGATTGGCATCATCTGGCAAAAATACTTCATTTGGTGCGAAAAGTCTAGGAAAATATAGGCTCGATCCTTTCCAATTAGGTAAAAGGTAATCATCTAAAGGCTCCTCTTTCACTGGAATAAATTTAACACGTTGGAGATTATTGGAGTAAAATGTGGAGACCGCCGGGATTTTATCCACTTGCTGGTTAAGATATTTGATTAATTTTCGAGAACGTTCAGTTCCCGCATAGCTACCAAGTTTAGCGATTGACTGTGCCCTTTCGTAAATACCTGACAAGTTCAGATCTTTGGCCATACCAAGTGATCCCAAAACAAACAACCGGTTATCATTACGCAGCCCGTCTCCAACTGGAAAGCGATGATCATCTTCAGAAAACAATTGTGCAGCTTCACTGTTTGGATGGATGAGCTCACAAGGCCTCGCAAAAATATTTCCATTTTGTGACACCGCAACACAGTTATTTTCTTGGAAGAGTTTCGGAAGAAATGTATTCCCTTCTAGAATACAATCTAAGCCAAAGCATACGATAGCATCCCGCTGGGTAGGAGAGAGTTTTGCGATGTTTGGGAAAAAGTATTGCTCCATAAAATCTTTTAAGGTTAAAGTGCGACGTGGCAGGACGCCATTTCGATCAAATTTCTCCAAGGTCTTCAAAATTTGGCAGGGTATGATAAACACGTGTTCCTTTAGGGATATTAACACTTCCGCTGCAACTTCGTAGATCGTATGTAGATCATCGCCCAGTATGAAGCCATCACTGATACTCATCCATACTCCATTGCTGTAAAATAACTTACGCTGCTCTTCTAACAAAACAAAGCAAACCGCTTGAACGAGCTTTTTCCAGGAATTCATATCAACAACGTCATAGCTTGGCCAAAGGGTATGAAATTTGTAATTCAAACAACTTTTACTTAATGACGTCATGTTTTCAAGAAGGCTGATGTATGCTCTAGTCAACGCGTCTTCCATAAGTGCTTCATTCCATTTTACCTCGATAGGTTGACTTTGCGCATTCGTTCGTTTCCAAATCTCAACGCGATTAGACATAATGGCAAAGGAACCGTTGACATGCACAGGGAGCCCTGTGGAGATAGACAATGGCAGAAAACAAAACAGCTCTCCGTAACCTTTTGTTATATCCCTCCAGATAGGGAATGCTGCCCCGCCACAAGGTAGGAGGCCATGTGATTGGCCTTCTGGTGAGAGAGCAATTTCAAGTGACGTATCAGTCCCACTGGCAGAGACAACCAGCCATACTTCACTACTGCTATTTTCGCGATCACAGCCGCTCAGTTCTGCCGCCATATTTACGGTGCTAATGGTAACAATTTCAAGGCTACACGGATATTCAGAGTTAAATTTCCTAGAATCTCGGTTCTGTTGCCACCACTTTGAGCACTGCTTAATGAATGGCTCTTCGCTGTTCATTCCTTTGCTTCTGTAGGCTTCAACACTTGGTTTGTTCACCAAAAGCACCAACTGCATTTGGTTAGGCGGTCGTGATCTATCCAGCTCGTAGATCTCCACCTTCTTTATATGTTGGGAAAATAGCAAGAGGGTGGTAGCACATTCACAAAGGCTACAAACAAGACCTTGAATTCTGTCTCGACCATAATCAGTTTTGCTGATCTCGCTGATGCTTGCTTGGTGTGCTGTGCGGAAAGGAAATCGGAACAACGTTCCGTTGTAATGGAAGCTACTCTGTGACTGCATTGTAATACAGCCAAAGATGTCATTGTATGGTTGAAATTGATCCTTGTAACGTGCTAACAACTTTGGATTCTTACCAAGGTTCATACGTATTCCAGGACGAGACCTGTCTTTAATACGATCTTGTAAATGGTTGACATTTGGATCAAAAGCTGTAAAATACTCTCGGGTGACAAAACTCGGCACGTCTGTGAGATGATAAACAGCGGTAAATCCAAGTCCAAACCGACCGATTTTTGAAAGATCCTCCACCTTTGTTCCTCCAGCTAGCTTACTGATATTCTCTAAATCATCATCAGTAAACACAGCATCATTATAAGCCCACAACGCTGGACCTTGGCATTTGGCCATGTCAGGAGATAATAGGCTACTGGTTGGACCATGTCTCCAGTCAACCAAAAACTTAACTGTAGTAGCACCTGCATCATCAGCATTTTGGATCAGCTCCTTCAATATACCGACACCATCTTTATAATCACCCAGAACTTTTCGGATAGCAGTAGTAATTGATTGGTGTGGTCCGGTTTGTTCAAACAGATCTGTTAGAAAAAGAAAGATACAGGGACACATGTCATAACTTTCACAGTAACTCATTACCAATCTGAGTCTAGGAGAGATGAAATTAAATTTATGTAGAATCAGTTATTGTTTATTTTGCATTTTAAAGTTTTAACTTTTAAATGACATCACACACTTCGTGGCCCTGGTTTTTCTGTAAAATTGATAAGGAAACAAGTGCGAACTGTCCGATAAGCTGAGAAAACAAATACAACAAATATTTTTTATTGTAAAAAGTTTCGTGAGTTTAATGTAAGGCATTATTTACCTGTTTTACTGAAAAACAACAAAGTGCTGTTTCTTTGCTTCAACATACATTCAGTAGTCTTGTTTAGTCATTGGCTGCCACGCCATACTTGCATTTTATGGCCGGCGTGGAGACACTAGCTGGCGAAATGGAAGCTCGCTCGTTTGCTAAGTAGGACATATAGTTTATATCTAATCTTTTAAATAAACTGCCATTCAAGTTATTTCGATCAAACGTGATAAATCAGTTCTAATTAACGCACGCACGCATGCAATACAATTGAATCCTGCAAACTTTAATATTAATCTTTATTTAGGATATGATAAAGCTGACAAACTTCAATCTTCCTGCAATTGAATGGACACTTGACCATCCAACACCAATAATGCACGTCGGAGGACATTCGGAAAACTATTTCTGCCAATTAGTTGGTGATCACTTTCTTGAACAATTAATACCTGGTCCCACCCGTTGTGATGGTAACAAGCTTGACCCACTTCTCTGCAACTGCCCTGAAATTATTAGGAATGTATAACAACATCAACTCCTCAACAGTTTGCATTTCCAACAGACCACCACATACTAGAATTTGAAATTCATCCATCGTTTTCTCGGGCAAAGCCAATCAAGCGGAATGTCTTTGATTACAGACGCAGGAATTTTGAAGACCCGCGCTATTCTCTGTCAAATTCAAAATTTAATGACAAACCTGAAAACGTTGACCAGCACTGAATTCATTGGAAAGAATGGTTTCTGAACGACATTAGTAAGTTCATTCCCGTTAAATTTTTCAAGGACACGAACTCACCACATTCGATCGACGGAGGTCATCTAATGCGGAAGAAATATGCAGCCCTGAGAAATACCGCCAGTCCGAAACTGCCAATCGTAAATTGAAACTACGAGTCAAAACATCAAGTACTTGGTGTGACGAAAGTATCGTGATTACCTGTCCAAAATAAAAGATTCGTTCTGTGACAATCCAAAACTATTCTGAAGCTACCACAAATCAATATTTCATCATGGGGCAAGACAAAGTGCAGAAATCACTTATAAAGGCGTAACATGGAAAACCCATCCAGTTTGAAATTGTGCTAATGGTAAGCAAAATTTCGGATAGAAAATCCCATTCGGATTATGCGCTTTCCATTTAGAGTGACTGACCGGAAGGCACTGAAGAGTTGTTTACCATTTACATGGAAAACCCATTCGGTTTGAAGAGCCTGGGACTAAATTCACAGGTTGAAACGTTCCAATCGGTAAGAGAGGACAACCTTTTCAAACAAACCGTTTATTCCGGAAAATTTCCGGTTGGGCCGTCGAAATATGCCTGTTCCATTTACTTTCCGTATGGAAAAGGTAAACAACTGGCAACAGCTGCATCTGGCAAAGCCGAACTTTTCCATGCTTATTTTTCTTCTGTTTTCACATCTCCTCGATCTAATACAAATAAAGATGCTGTCAATACTTTCTTTCAATCGAAAATTGAGCTGAAATTATCTGATATTACAATCGCTTCGGATAAGTTGCCAACTGTTTGAACAGTTTGGATGAGTCGAAGGCAAATGGACCCGATGGTATATGCTCGGCTATTAAAGGAATGTTCCCAACAAATAGCACCAAGCCTTTGCGATGTCTTCAACCACTCTCTGCAATCTGGCTGAGTTCCTTTAGGATGGTAATCAGCAAACGTCACTTCCTGATTATTTGAACAATCGTCGACAAAGAGTCGCAGTTGATGGTGTGGCGTCATAATGGGCCCCTGTTACATCTGGAGTGCCTCTAGCACTATTCTTGGACTATTTCTCTTTGTTGTCTTCATTGCTGATGTTCCAGAAGTCATCACGGATGGAACTTTATCAGAATTATTTGCAGACGACACTAAGGGTTACAGGAATATAACATCAGGAAGTGAATTTGATCTTCTACAGAAAGTATTAACCAACCTGGATTTATGGAGTCGGAACAACAACATCAAATTTAACTCGTCGAAATGCAAAGCATTATCTGTGACGCGCAAAAAAAACTCCAATATAGTATGACTATTACCTAGGTACGGAAATGTTGTTAAGAGTCGAAGAGGAGAAAGATCTCGGAGTCACCTTGTCCAGCAAACTTATGTGGGACTCACACATAAACGAGGTGGTATCAAAGGCTAACAAATAACTTGGTGTTGCATGCTCAAGCCAGACCGGCACTTTACCTCTCGCTAGTCAAGTTGGAGCTATGCTACATACACAAGCACTTCTCCAGTCCAGAATAGACAACTGAGTAAAGAATCGAGAGAGTTCAAATTATTGAAATCAAGACGTGTGAAATGTCCTATAACTGACAGCGACAATTGACATTGGACTTACCACCTCTTTCAAATCAAATCTTTTTCAAATCAAATCTTTGCTACGATAGTGAGACCTTACTTTGTTTTTTTAAGGCTCTGTACGGCTATATTAACTCAACAATAACAATTATGTGACTGTGTCGAACTACTACTTTCCAATCATCTTTCTTTCAAAACCTGGAGGCTGGAACAGCGTGTGTAAGGATGTTGATCCTGACTCTTTCAGTCTTTCTCCAGTCACAACCTTTCTTAAGCTGACTATTTTCATCTTCTTCAGACAGTCTATGATGTATTGTCCTGTGCGTGGTCCTTAACACGCAACGGTCCTTGCCACAGGACATAGCTGCCTGTTTGTATGTCTATGTCTGTCTTATTTAAGTCTTTCCGCATGCATGTCTTACTTACTTACTTACTCTATCGCTCTATACTTCCTATGATATCCGATATAGCTACTTTGTCTTTCTTAATTCATTCTTCCACTTAAGAATTTTTAATATACAGTATATACTAATACATATATTTATTTACTTCACATCCCCTTGCGAGGCTTTTCACCAAAATATTTACATATAACTTATATATAATTACTCTAAATCATTACGACATACAAATACAATTATACAATTCTGGGACCATTGCTCTTTGTTAATGATGTTCGAGAAGTCATTACGGATAGAACTTTATCAGAATTATTTTCAGACGACACTAAGGTTTACAGGAAGTAAAATATCAGGAAGTGACTGTGATCTTCTACAGCAAGCATTAACCAGCTAATATGTGTAACATTCAAGTACATAAAAGAGGGTGTTGATGGGGTATATGTCAGTCGTGAAAACTCTAAAAATTTACCGTGAAGCGTGAGGAAAAAATTCTGTTTATCGTTTTCAAAGATTTTTCAAACACTTTTCAAAGATTTACCGTTAAAATACCAAAATTTTACCAATACCAAAATGTTTACCGTTTACTGATTTTCAGACCCCCCCCCCCCATCTAGACCCTCATAAAATCTAAATTCTTGGCAGGTGGTTTGCCTAAATATTAGGTAATAAACATATTAACAATATTATATACTCACCTTCCTCACAGCGCTCTGCCATTATCTAGTCACAGCTGATATAAGCATATTTGTTTGGAAAGAGGGTGATATGTGAATTGATTAGTTCGGGCACTGCACCAGATTATTCTGACTCACGGCTACATCTCAGACTTCTACATCTAAAATTGTACAATGTCAATGATGATGTGACTGGTGTTGATTTTATAAGCTTTGTTGCATTATTAACATTACATAGCAGAATAAAGGTGTGATTGGGTGGGAGAAAGGCCAGATAAACTCGATTTTTGGTGCGGGAGCTAGGTGGGTGTTCCCCAAAATGCGGATATAAACTTAATTTGTGCCTCCCATGCTAAAACAGCCAAAAATGGAAACGAGGCCATTGGAGGCAAACAGTGAAGTCCATTTGTACTGTTATCTATTTTTTGAATTATTGTTTTTTGTTACCTATATGCAAATTAAGAGACCATCATAATTTACAACTTTTAACGTCAAATATCTAATCCAGGTAAATATCTTTTGACCCCCCCCCCACCCACCCCAGTCAAACACATGATGCTTCATAACATCCCTATTTGAGCAGTTCTAAGTTTTTCCTGACGTGACGTATAGTGATGTATGCATCAAATTAAACACCCAATCTCGTTCCCCGAGCCTGCGATCCTTGGGAAGGAACGTGAGGCTCTGGGATAATCCGTTTCAGGGAGGAATCTGATTGGAATGCGTAGCTCAATCTTAGCCAGGATTCCTGGCTTCCAGCAACGGATTATCCCAGAGCCTCACGTTCCTTCCCGAGGATCGCAGGCTCGGGGAACGAGATTGACTAAATACTAGGGATGGGCGATACCAGCTTTTTCATTCGATACGATATTTGCTCGATATTTGCCGGGTTTTTTCGATATCGATACCGATATTTTCCCAACTTGAAATCATTAACAACGGCCACAACGCTAACAATATAAACATTGAATTGATATATGTCAGTGATTGCAACCAACATAACCAGAAACTCCCATCCTTCCCGTGGACCATTATAGCACCATAGAAAATGAACTATTTACGCCTATTTAGGCTTTTTGGTATCATTTTCATGATGCCGCTGACCAAAATGAAAAATATCGCGGGCGTAGAAATATCGAAACATCGATATTTCTTGCCAGTATCGATACTAGGGACCTTAAGCATGCACGACGGTAACGCAACGACGACAACCAAAACAAAATTCTTCAAATAAATTAATGCGAAGAAGTGTTGTTATGTTTTGTCCACTGCATGTATATATGAATTGAGTTCAGTTTGAAGAAATTAAAACAAAGGCTTTATGGTTAAAAACGCTTCTGCTGAGCAAATTTGTAGTTTTCACTTGTCGCGTCTTGAAATGTTTGCGTTGTACACGAGACGTGAAAATCTCTGGTTTGCCGTTGTAAAAAGCCCTAACACAACGTCTCTAATTCCCGTGGGGCTTTTAATTATTCATTTCTTTTGTACGAGATCAGGAATATCATTGTGTGAATAGCCGTCGCCGTCGTGTTGCTGTCCTGTTTGCTTAAGGTCCCTAGTTTTCTTCAAAACCCTGGTATCGATAGTATCGAGTATTTGGTATCGATATCGGCCCATCCCTACTAAATACCCTGTGGCGAAATATAGTCGCGACACGAAGCTGTACAAGTTGAGAGAAAATGTGAAATTTTATACGGCGTTTCCATATTAAAACACGTACGAGAAGGAGTGTTTTATCATATTTAAAATGCGAGGCGCAGCCGAGCGTTTTAGATATGATAAACGGATTAAACGCGAGTTCGAGTGTTTTGAATAGCTTCAAATACGACTACAAAAGCATACTAATATTTCGCTAATAAATATTTCGCTAAATAATATTTCGCTAAATACAGCTTTGTTGACATTCATTCCTGTGAAAATATATTGTTTTAAAGGACTTTGGATAAAATAATTCAATATTTTGCGTAAAAACCAATATTTAAGAGTTGTAATGTATTTGTATTTTAATAAAATAAGCAGTTTTATTTGCTCAATTTTAGTTCGTGCGAAATGTGACCGATGCATTCGCATCAGTTGTATTATCACTCATCAGTTTGGATGGGTGGATTCACACCCGTGATTATTTAATATAACCGCACATCTACTACAGGTATATAGTTTGCGTTTCCATATAAATTACGTATTTAATATAAATAGACGAAGGGACTTACCAATCAATGGCAATGTCGAATTCTCGCGAGATATATATTACCTTTGGACTTTGTGCCTTTTTTTCAAAGAAAAATTATATATAACATTAATCATTATAAGAAATTATATATTTGAAAGTCTATACTACCTGGAATTTAATATTTGTGCAGGACTCAATCCAACCTGATTTAGCCTCTGCCTGTAGTTACTGTATTAAGACAAAAATCCTTTACTACCAGACAATTTCTAACTATTTAGTGCAGTAAAGTTTGACAATGTCAATGACTTCGAAATAAATTAAAGTCGAAAAATTTTGTTATCTTGTTTAAATAGCTAGCTCGGATCTTGAATAAGAGGTATTTAATAATATTTGGAGTGTGTTTCATCTTGTAACTGTCAGACCACAATTAATTGAGGTAAGACTATAAGGTTGAGTTTAAACCTACCTTCCTTCACAGTAATTGACAAAATTATAGCATCTTGCGTCCACTCACTAGCTATTCTATTCCGCTTTCGTTTTATAGATAAGGTGGGAATGTGTGGGATCGAACGTTTCCGGTTTTCGGGGAAGCAATTTGCATGCATCTTCCAGGAATGATTAATTTGTGGCAGGTGATTAGGTGAATTAACCACAGTGGCAACAAGAAAATATTTCTTTAAAAAAGAAATAATGTTTCGTTCCAATATAATTATAGAAATACCAGACGTCTGTAATTAGCGGTTGTGACCATAGATCACTTGTATATGTCGAGCAATGAAATTGGTTCATATATTTTGTGAGGCGGGCGGGTTCTATAAATTTTCATTACCCGGAGGGGCCGAGCGGTCCAGAAATACAGTTGTAGTATTTAAAATGAAGAAAAACAAAGAAAACTATATAATAAATATATACCGCTGTTGAAATACAGTTGTAGTATTCAAAATGAAGAAAAACAAAGAAAACTATATAATAAATATATACCGCTGTTGGCGCTTGAATACTTCAAATATAAATCATCGTGCCTGTAGATTTTGACCTGAAGTTCAGGCCCTAGATTTTGATTGGTTGCAAGTTCACATAAACAACAGTTTTAAAAATAGCTCGGTGAAGGGCTCAAGGGGACAATAATAATATAAAGGTCAAATGCACGTAACAAATCCATTATCGATTTCTTCGAATTTCTTTTCTTTTATGCTTTATGGCAGAAAATAAATCAAACAAATAGTATTTTGAAGGTCTTTATCAAAATCTTTGACGAATTTTGGACACACGACGCCGAAAGAACAGCCAAACTAGTCATCTATTCGAAAGTTTGTTGTTTACAGCCAAGATGTTCTGCCAACTGGCTTCGCCGGCAAAAGTCTTATTTTTAATATCAGGTCCTACCGGCGTTGTTTTCTGAGCTACATCGCCTTCTTCGTGGTACGATTGAGAATTTTATTGTTGCTGTTGTTAGCCCGTTTAATAGAGTATATCCCTGGTATATCCGCGTCCAGCAAGTTGAGACCTTGAGAAAGCTTGGCAGTCAAGCTGTACACAGAACTGACTAATTGAATCTTCGTTTGCTGTTCGGTTAAATAGAGAAACTGACTCTTAATTATATAAAAGTACCTTGAATTTTTAAGTTTAATTAAAAAGCAAAATGCACACTCTGCGGACATGTTCATGAGAATATAATTTTTTTGTGTAACGTGTCAATCATATTGCATGCTGTGTCTAAAAATAACATGTGAGCGTCCCACGGTCTAGACAGGTTTTGTATCAGGCCCTATTTAAAATTAGGGCCTGAACTTCAGGTTAAGTTAGCATGTTCTCATAGGTTGATATATAATTAACTAAGATTTCCGAATTATACGCCACGCCTCCAAAAAACTTCTTATGCTAGGAGCGGTCATCTCATTGGACGATTCTAAATGTAATTGACGTTTGAGCAAGAATACTGGCAAAGGATTGGATAACTTTGATCTCTGACGTCACTTTCCTGTGATAATTGCTCGAAACCAAATACAGTACCGTTTCGTTCCTGCGGGGAACGAAACAAAAACAATATGGCGTTACTAAATAACTAAACTAGCGGCTAAATCGAGGAATGCACATTTACATGACGCCATCTTGAATCATTATTAACTCGGGACATTTGTGGTTATCTTATGATAATAATGAATTAGTAAAATGGTTATCCATTAAAGTGCTCCTTTATCCCTTGTCTACATCCGTAGTTTATTTCTATTGTCAGCTGGGAGGTAAACACGCAATAAAAAGTTTTCTTTATTAAACAGTTGAGTAGAGATATTTACTATGAAAAGTTGCCGATTTTTATGGCGAATTCAATCGTGTTCTCCGATTTCCCATCTACTGTGTACACAAATTCCTATAGTAGGATAAAGACTCGAGTTTTAGAGTATTAAAGGGCGAATATCTCCGTTCAGTTTTTCAATGAAAAAGGAAAACTAGGGCTGTTTATACAGAATTCATGCGGAATCGAAGGGTATTTTCGGAATTTCCAGCTACCGTGCACACAACTATGTGCTCACTATACGAAAGTAAATTTGCGTGCCAGAGACCAAGTGTCGATTAATGCATACAAATCACTGTGAAAAATGTCGATACGCGAGATGTTGTTATTTTGTATTTTCGGCCGGGTTATTTTCCTTTATATGATATCAAAAGCTATATTAAATCATTATAATATGATTATTTATGATTTAAAAGCATTAAAAGTGTATTTATTGTAATTTTTGCTGCTGTAAACTAGCTTTATTATGACCATTTTTAATAGACTATTTATAAAGTGGCAATGAGCGAGCGACAATTATCCAATCAAAATCCACTATTTTAATTTTCCCGCGAATACGTTTGTTTTGATTACATCATTCATGGTTGATACGATGACATCATAACTGAGACCCAGGTCATTGCGCGCAATTCAAGATGGCGTCGGGCAAATGTGCATTCCTCGATTTAGCCGCATGACCTCTTGCAACTCAGGTCTCAGCAACAGAGGGTGCCTGTAGTTTTAACACGTTTCAAACGTCGAATTTAGCCGTCATGTCGAGGCATTACGTACCTGGCAGAAATAAGGAGTATACCGTACATCGTCTGGTTTGCCTAATTGCCCGCATGGTATAAAGATATTTCTTTTAATATTTTCCTGTCATTCCCAATTCACGTTATCGATTTTTCATCTTCATATTTGGCAGTGAAAACATTTTCAGTCAAATGTGTGGGAGAAACTAAATAAATTAAATTTCTATAGGTGCTGTTTCCAGTAGCAAAATGTATTAAGGTTGCAGAACACCTTTGAGTGTTAATTTTGCCTAAATTTTTTTTATTGGTTTCCGAGGGGCATTTCACTCCAAAAAAGCGTACGGGATTTTCGGATTTTTAAAAATCCGCGAATTTTTCAGCGGATTTTCGCCGGATTTTTTAGCGGATTTTTGAAGAGAAAATCTGTTGGATTTTCTGGATTTGTTTGGATTTTCCGGATTTTTTGACGAAGCATACGGGATTTTCGGATTTTTAAAAATCCGCGGATTTTTTAGCGGATTTTCCCGGATTTTTAGCGGATTTTTGAAGAGAAAATCTGTTGGATTTTCCGGATTTGTTCGGATTTTTTGACGAAGTGTACGGGATTTTTGGAGTGAAATGCCCCTCGTTGGTTTCTATGAAAGCATTAGACTAGTCCTACTATCTGACCAAGTTTGAATAAAATACATTTCGCTGCAATAAGAAAAACATTGAAAATGTAATATTCAAATTCAATTTTCTCCGGAAACATTTTACGGCAATTACTGATTTTCAAACGAGTTGTTCTCCGGCGGGTTTTAACGAATTTTTCTCACATTTTCACAGGAAAGACGTCAGTTTCAAAATTGTGTTCGGCTTTGTTCTAATTTTGGATATTTTAATAAGGAGCAATTCATACAAACGATTCAGAAATATATTGCAGTCGTCAAAGAAATCACCATATCAGCGGAATGACGAAATATCCAAAAATGTCCGAACACAATTTTTTAACCTGAGTATCAGGCTCTATTTTACAAATAGAGCCTGACACAAAACTTAACCTCATCGCTTTCCGCCCACAGCAAAGTTTATATTTAGTATCCAATCAAAATGTCGCAGGAGAAATTTAAATTTCACACCAACGACAACAGCAATCTAATTATAGCATAGCAGCCCACTAAATACCCTGGATTCCAGAGCCTTCGACAGTAAATAATAAATTGAAGTGTCGCGAAGGCTCTGGTTCAACGGGGCGATTCTTTGATTAAGCCGCGCCAATCACAAAACAGAATTAGTGCTTTTAGTACAGAATCTGTACTAAAACCACTAATTCTGTTTTGTGATTGGCGCGGCTTAATCAAAGAATCGCCCCGTTGAACCAGAGCCTTCGCGACACTTCAATTTATTATTTACTGTCGAAGGCTCTGGAATCCAGGGTACCCACTAAACCGGGCTGAATTTAAATTAAAACTGCAATGAACTTATAAAATTAACAAAAATAATCACAAATTAGCGAAATATATTGCAAATGTAGCTTATATTAAATCGCCACCCGATTGCTTTCTCCTCCCGCAGAGGTTTCAGTGACTACAGTGAGCTTTACATGGCGCTTGCCGTATTTATCAACAAACTGACGTATAATTATAAAGTATATATATATATTAAGTATACTTTATAACTATACGTCAGTTAGTCGATAGTGCAATCTGATGGCGATATAATATAAGCTACATTTGCAATATATTTCCCTAATTTGCGATTATTTTCTAATTTTACTGCAGTTTTAATTTAAATTCAGCCGTTTAGTGGGCCGGCTATAATTATAGTTGTGATCGTTATAAAATATATCAACAACAATAGTATAATCTAATTAGCACCAGCCAATCAAATGACAGATTTAAAAAATCGTTTGTCTAATCGACCAATCAGCGCTCAGTCCAGATTCTGGACTGAATAACCAGGCAAAATGCCGCTTTTGTGTCATCAGGCCGTACTTTTCTCCCCTTCGCCCGCGATCAGGCGTGCCTGTGCCCTAAAAAGTACGGCCTGATACTCAGGTTACAATTTTTTAGAACAACTATTTTACTGAAAATAATATTTTCATAAATATATCTTAAAACCAGCAGGAACACAACTCAAAAGCGTAAAGCTATCGCGATTTAAGATTTTCCTGAATGATTCTTACATTATTTTGTTTGTCAATTTTACAACTCTACCAATTTTACAACTCTACCACTGGCTAACATTTGGTGAAAATTTGATGAAAATCGGACTGATTTTGAGCGCGCAGTAGCGATTTTCCGAAAAACGCCAAAAAGGGTGTCCTGCATGTAACCTTAACTAGTTAAGCTACTTTAATCTCATTCGTCCATCAACCTCCGATAGTTGTCCTAATTAAATTAAAGACAAATATAACATCACCTTAATACACATACGAGCATACAACAAATGAAAAGTTCACTTCAAATTATAATAAATTGAATGTTAACGACGACATATTTACCTACTCTCAATCATTCATTTTCATTCGTTCGTTTAAATATAACATTAAATGTTTAGTGCTGTACAAAAGGTGTATGAAGAATGTGTGATGTACAAAATTTATCGATCACAATGTACTACGGCTATTCCAGATATATAACCCTACATTACAAAATATTTTACACACAATCTCGTACTCATATAGCTCAACATACGCCAATTAAAATAGACCTGAGTTCGAGGTTTGGTCAATATATATAGAATGTACTATTTAATCATTTAGGCTACGTTTATACACTATACCGGATAGTTTTCTGTAGCAGCGCGAAAAAAGCACCTATCCGATACGAAATGTACAACTTTCAGAAGCTGAGCGAAACAACATCTATCCGTTGCAATATTCCTCTGAAAATAGCTTTCCTAAAGGTATGGACGAGGGGCATTTCACTCCAAAAAAGCGTACGGGATTTTCGGATTTTTAAAAATCCGCGGATTTTTTAGCGGATTTAGCGGATTTTTCCCGGATTTTCCCGGATTTTTTAGCGGATTTTTGAAGAGAAAATTTGCTGGATTTTCCGGATTTTTGAAAATCTGTTGGATTTTCCGGATTTGTTTGGATTTTCCGGATTTGCTCGGATTTTTTCTGGATTTTTTTTAATTATAGAGTTATAGAGCTAGGTAACGTTTTGAACAAATAATCTTAAGTTGTACGATGTCAACGTTATGCCAGGACGTCAGGGTCGAGCAGAGGACTGGGACTAGGACCACAGCCTTCTGAAACTATTAACGAAGGCTGTGCATGCAGTCAATTTGTATAAAATTCAAACAAGTTCATTATTCTTTCAAAAGCAGTAAAAGACAATGGTGAATAACTTTTGGTTTTGTAATTATATTTTACAACATAACGTCATTGTAACAAGAACACATATTTAGTAGTAATAGGCTAAAAAAACTTAGCATATACTCGAACGTATAAATGGAAATGTAGAGTGGTCCAATAATTACGAAATATAATGACAGCGAATCAGCGATCACGGTAAGCGTTTAGCTTTCGCTGTCCGCCATTTTGAACGTGGCAAAGAACCTTTACGAGTAAATTACACCAAGTACTTCATATATTTTTTGTGGATTTGCGGATTTTTTAAGGATTTTGAAGGATTTCTGTGGATTTTTGAAGGATTTCTGTGGTTTTTAAAGGATTTTTTTGATTTTGATGGATTCAATGGATTTTGAGGATTTCATGGATTTTTTCTGGATTTTTTCCGGATTTTTTGACGAAGTGTACGGGATTTTTGGAGTGAATTGCCCCTCGGGTATGGATAGCTGTTTTTTCATGTCGCTACGGAATGCTATTCCGTGTAAACGTAGCCTTAAACGATTTTGCGAGGGAGGTCATGCATGCTTCCATTCTCAATGAAAAAGCCTGTTTTTAACCCGCTTTACTGTGAATAAATAGTTGTGGCGATTCCTCAAAGAGGGCAGAAAGAATATTTGCAAATATAAAAAGAACTCAAAAACTTACAAAAGCTATCGTAAAAATATAAACGTCTTGTTTAATGCAATATATATACTCAAGGATAACAATAAGAAATTTCATGTTAATTTTCCCCTTAAAAAAATTAATGCAGGCGAATTTCGTACTGTGTACCAGCAATGAATAGACATTAACACCGTTTCAACTGTGAAAATGGGAAGAACACATGACCATGTGCATTATTGTATGTATAATGTGATATTAAGGATTTTCAGCTCGTGCATGCAGTTGAATTAGTTTCACTTGATACAATTAGGTACAAAATTATCCACGCGAATTACGAAAATAAACCCCTACTATATAACAATGTTTGTAATTTACACTCTTACTAAGTTACTAAATGTTCTTCTCACGACAAACAATCAGTATAGACGTCCAAAGACACCACAAATGGCACAATCGAATACTTGTCGCTATGGCTGAACTAATCTTGTCGAGGGTTGCTAAAAAAGAAAATGAGCATGCAATTATAAGAAGTGCAAAATGATGTGTTAGATTATGAAGCTTTATATAGTGCATTGATGCTGTATAGTTGTTGCTATATATAAATTGGTTGGCTTGAGTGAAAGCACACGAAAGTCTTTCTGTTTGCAGGTAATAGTATGGTTTCGAGTGCAATTTGGGAAAAAAACATGCATGCACGAGTGAGTTTTTCAAAGACTATCAAAAACTCACGAGTTAATAGAAGTAACTCACCATACCCTAACTATTTTACAAATGTCTCGTGTTAGGGTTGGACAAAATATAATGAAAGATTTTAAAGGAATTTTTAAAGATTTTTAGGTATTTCATAGAGATTGTTTTAGAGATTTCCAGGAATATTTTGGGGATGTTTCGAAGTACACACCCTTCGTCCACTGCGGGGAAGTCTGAATAAACGTGAATAAACAAAAATGTAGAATAAACACCATGGCCGAAATTTCGATTGAATGGAAAACCTACCTGATATAACCTGAAGTCATTGTACGTTTTATACAATTCTTCCATGGGAAACTAAAAAAAAACACAATAAAATATCCTCATAAATGTAAACATAACTCCCATATGCAAGCGAAATTAATAATGTTTTATTGCATAAGATCGATAGATTTAAAGTATATGATATAATCCTATGGATATAATCCTTAAATAAGTAAAACACGGGATGTCAAATTAAGCATCAGGCTCTCATAACCCAATTTCCTGATTCCTTAGCATGAGCTCTGGAATTCCTTAGTTTCACCCACAATTCCTTAAATTACTTCATCGGTCATTCTACAGATAGCTTGAAATCGTGACGGATAATGTAATCCATTGTATATATAAGAATGGTTTTCGGGAAGGTCTGTAGCAACGATTATTTATGAAATATTTATGTAAACAGATGAACTGACCTGTTGTAAGACCACAAAACCTTGAAGATCATCGCTAGTCTTTCTTGCACAATCCTGGCAGTGGACCTGATGTTTCTTATTATTCGTTACAAACAGAATGTTAAACACTTCAATCTAAACAAAAGTAAACACAGATATAATTATTTTGAAACAAGTTACATCCTCGATGTCCTGCAGTCCCCATGAGCATTTTGCCTTCCTCTGCCAATGGACTGTACTGTTTATTGGGTTATTTCCTCGTATTTCGTGCACAGTAGGGTTAAAGCTTATGGTTGGACTCAAGATCAAAGAGAAACATATTCAGGCACAAAAAATGAGGATCGATAACTTTTATGTGCGCCTGCCATGCTCAAACAAGCAAACATATATACGAGGTCATTGGGGGTAAAAGTGCTGTAATACACAGTAAAGTTTATTACCATTATTATACCTAGGACTAGGAGAGGAAGATAAACATGAAAAATCAACGTACTATTGATGTTCAGCACCAGAATTTTGGGTGTGCATTTAGAAGAACGAAATTATGTTAGCCAACTATATATCTTGACGTCTATGACTATGATTTCATCTTGTATCATTTACATACCCAAATTACTCCATTTTACTTGTTACCAAACTCCTAATCTCCTTGACGGCTGGGTATAACATTGTCAACGTTTCAGTGTTCATAATAACGTCATGAAATTCAACACTGATTCAAATATTGAAAGAGGTGAATATTTCATATGCAAGCCGCCATCTTTATCTGTCTAATATACGTACCTCACACACAGAACAATAATGAGCAGCTTCGTGCTCTCCCCGTCTTTGTAATGTCACCGTTACACCAGCCTCCTTAATACAATCCAAGGTTACCTGACAGTATTTCAACACTCGTGCTAGCACTTGCCTGGAACATGTTAAAAAAATTGAAACAAAATTACGATGTTGCACTAAATAATGCTATACGGTTACTCGACTGCTTAATGTTTGAAAAAAATTGTAGAAGTTGGAAACTGCGGGGCCTCGTTCAGCTGACCATACACAATATTGTTCAATATATATTTTTTGAAATCATTCTGTACTGCATGTTGAAGTAAAAATCTTAAAAACCTGTTGGCGTTATGCTTTATATTATATTTATCCGCCCCAAATAAAGAAAAGAAATACTCCATTTACACTACAGTACACAGACATGGTATACTCCAACATAATTTATAATTGCTCCATTGCATGAAAACTTATGAAAAGCAAGCCAAATAAAACGGTAAATAATATCAAATACAGGCCAAAATAAATCTTTTTCCTTAGACCAAAACAAAAATGAAATAGGTATGCCAAAGTTACAATTACTTGCATATTAGAAGGACCTTACATGACTGCCACTGCAATTTACAATGTAACAAATATGCCACTTTCATTCGATCTTTACTGTTTCTTTGCCACCCAGACATTTTACAACCCTAGCTAATGATGCGTACATACCAATAATAAAGAAAATATTTCTAACGAAGAAACACCCTGTGTTACACACCTCATATGCTCGTACAATTTCTTTTCTGAAATTTTTATATTTCGAGCTAAATTCCACGTCAATAGAATCATAGGAACGATTGATCTATTTCCTGAAAAATATTAATGTGATATTAAATGAACGTTAGAATTTGTAATGTGAATTAGTGAGTTCACCGGTCAAGTGTTGTATAGGTGATTTAACATGCATGGTGCCATGGTCTCATTGCGTAGAAACTCCCAATGTAGAGCGGTCAACATTTTTTCCCAAGGGAGGGTGGGTTACGGCAGTCGAGTGTCTTCTGTGGTTGGCTAACGGGTTGGGTGCATCCTTGATTTTCGAGATATATATTGAGTGTTTACAGGAATGGCGAAACGAGAGGCTTTATGCTCATTCTCATTATGTGTTATGCTCATTGCAGGCTTTATGCTCATTCTCATTATGTGTTATGCTCATTTGAAAACACTTATATAAAACCACATCATTAGTAAGACAGTATATACTTTAAAACCACAGAATCCAGTCGCTCTTTAATAATTTGAGGTTAGTCCCATATTTTTATTTCAGATGCAGTTTAATTTTCCGGTAGTAGTTTTCAAGACTTTTTCAGGCTTTTTGGTTATATTTGTAGCTGCGCAATGATTCTACGCAATGATTCCATATAGAATTAGGCTTAGATGCCTTAGGGTACAATTTGGAAAGACAATTTCCTGATGCATATGAAAGTATAATATGCTGTAAAACCGCCTAAGTGCAATTTAACCGATATTCAATGCTATACATGCTTACCTTGAAGTTTATTCCATTCGTATCTGTTGACAGCCATATTGTACTGAAATTCTGAAAGAAGTAAAAGGATATATACAAAAATAAGAAATTGAAGAATTATACAACCACACCACTGCATGTATGCTGCTACTAAATATACAAATTTATTATATGGACAATGGTGTTTTACTGGAAACTAAAACACTCGTACAACTCATACGTCACTACATCCGGGACCAGGTGCGCGTATTTCCGTATTTCACCCCTGCTAGTGACATACGAAGTTCGAAAATTTCCCGCCATTTTCATTGTTGTTGTTTTGAAAATACAAATGAGCAAAAAAAAATTGATTCGTATTTAAAACGAAATTAACACGTTGGAAATAAAACGAAAACATTTAAAACACATTTTGAGATAAGTAAAATTTATTCTAGTTTTATGTTTGCACTATAATTTTAAAAATATCGCTTTTATACTGGTCTTTCGCGTGCTTATTTACATGTCGTCTTTGTGTGTATTTTTGTCACTCTGAGTAAGTCCATATAATAAACAGAACATTAAACGGTTGCGAGAAGATATGGATTTATGTTCTCGTGTCGTTCGCTGCGCTCACTCGTGAGATATTGTTTTTGCCACTCGAACATAAAATCCATATCTCTTCGCAACCGTCTAACATCCTATATTTATTTCCATAAAGCTTGCAACAATTTGATATATATTGAGGTGTTAGTGAATGTTGTTGTCTATATCTATTTGGGCTCGTGCAGGACTGATATAACAACTGAAGAAACAAACTATATGTTGACAACTGATGGAAGGCGAGTCTTTGAGAAGTGAGATTGTTCATTTGAAGTTTCCATTTGTATAATGAATGTATTAGAAATGGTTGTGTTTATTGAAAAGAATAATTTCCAAATTATTCTAGTCAATTTGACAAGTGTAGAATATTTTGGGTTTGAGGAACGAGAAACCACGCCCTTTTATCGGCATTCTACCACCCTTCTCATTGCTACATAAATTTATATGTAAGTCATATTTGCTATAGAATTGAACTTGATTTAGAAAAGAACTAGAAAGGTTGCTTCTAAGCCGGAATGAATTATAACTTGTGTACCTGTCAACGGTCCAACGTTCCAGGCGACATTATTACACCACCCCTATTAAAAAATTCAATTAAAATCCATTTTATATACCTTCACGGTGGTTTGCCGGGTAATTTGGAATTGTGCAAAAATGTAAGGGTGTTTTGCGTGAAGGAAGAAGTAAATTGGGGTATAGGTGACCCATTGATTTGCCACTTAAAAATCACAGTAAATAGTTCAACCGTATCGCATTATTGTTAGCTTTTACACTAGTTAATCAATTGTACACTTATAACTTACAATAGCCTGCACCCAATGTACTGTTCCAGCATTGACCCATACCAAGTCACCAGGTTTTTGAACGAAGCGATACACCGGGACCCGCTCTTCATACAAATCTTCAAGAATTGGCCACCAAGATCCTATAAATGACACATATATCAAATCAAGTTATAATAAGTCAAATGAAAACCTTTTGTAAAGCTCAATGATGATTAATCAAGCCAGGAATAGTAACCGCCACAGTAACAGGTTTTCTCTATTTTAAACGCTCGCGACCTCAGGTCGTTGCAAAATGCCCAAGTTCGTTGTAAATTAATGATAACAATCTTTACCCAGGAGGCATTCTCACAAAAGTGATTTTCAGAATGGTCCTGTACTATGGAACTATGGTATATATACAAAGTGTAAATATTATATCTAAACTATTTACATGCGGTCAAAGTTAAGAATATCATAAATTATCTATCATAACAGTACTCGCTGAACTAGTAAAAATTTAAAAGTTAAGAACAACAATAGTACATCATGGCCAACAATTTATTAAGACTATGTTCACAGGGGACCAGACTCGGAACTGTAGACAAACTACACAGTGTACAGAACCTATACTCTTATACAGTAGTATTTGCTAATGTAGACATTTTCAAGCAAAATGTACTAACCCATCAGGAAGTCAACATTATTCCTACAAAAAAGAAACAGAACAATGAGTATGATGTAAATGTAGGATTTAAGTAGTATATACTTTATCTGGCCAGGACAAAAAACTGGGATGCGTAGAAAACAGCTCAATATGAAAGAAGGGCCCAACTATAGATTCCAAGGATAGTGCGAAGTTTCAGGGCTGCCCAGAGACTTTGGGGGCCAAGCAAAATATAACTTTAGCTTCCTGAGAGACGATTTGACATTGTTTATTCACAAGAATGTCATCTGTGGCCCCTTTAGCCTGGGGAAATCAACCTCTCTCCTGGGTGACCCATATGTACATTACATGCGCATAAGTCACGCATTTAACTTCAGTGGGTATGTCTTAAAGCGTAACAACCCAGGGAGGCTGGGGTCCAGGCCGACGCATCTTCCCTAAATTTCTTTCCACCTACCCCCCAACCTCGTACCCACCGTATCAAAGCATCAAACAAGTGAAAGTGACTACTTACTTCTCACAAAAGTTGTGAACGGCCCCCCAATATTCATAGGGTACGGAAAACCACTCGCAATCTCCAGGACCAATGTTGATATTAACGGAACTAAAGTTCAAGTTTTCTTGATGACCTACAAGAAACACGTCCCTTCAAATCTCAATACAAACTGGGGTAATCATGTTATATTTAAAAATTAGATATCAATTTCCAGAGTCCGACGTCATGTATAACTTGCTGAGCAAAAACTGTGGCTCATGATGTTCTTACCACTTTATGACGTCCTATATTTATCTATAACTGACCAAACAACGGCAAAATGTTATCTATTTGTTTAGCATATTACAGGTAAACTGCATCATCACTTTGGGTTCATAACTGGATTGCAATGAACAGGAAGGCATGAAATTAAAACAGGAGGTTAGGAAAATTTAAAAGGAAGTTTCTCAATGAGGAAAATTGGCGATCAAGTTAGAAACTCAAGAGAGGAACGCTTGACGTAGTTCACCTGTAAAAAGTTGAAAAATTAGCTAATCTAAGCTCGTATCGAAACATTTTGGCGCTTCGAAGCGCGATCTATACAAAACAAAGCACTCTTCTGAGAGAGCTGTGCTTGGCGTAAAGATATTACGTCACTAGCAGTTTTGGATGGCCGCCGCGTGCGTTTCAAATGGTGCCGCGTGTCTGTCCTGTAATAAAATGATCGACCAATGTTTTGCCAGATCGACTCAATTTTACAACTAAATGCGGAAATAAACTCATTCACCAACAGCATTCAGAGAAGGCACATTGTTCTTACTTTATAGCATTCTTCTGACACTTTGAAATATTTGTACACACCTGGAGTACGACATCCGGGAATCTTCATGTACAATTGAACTGAATTCATTCCCAGTATAACGTGATCAACGTGACTCAGCATGTTGCCAGGTGAGAAAACCTAGAATGAGATATTTTATAACTATTTTGATACAAATTGCAATATATGAAAACCATTTTCAGGAGATTGAGGATAAACTTGGATTTGAAAATACAATGTAAAGAATTAGACTGTACTTACCCTTAGGAATGGTGGTAATTTATTAAGTTCAAGAAATTGGGGTTTCCATCTGCAAAGGTAAAGATATATTTATGTAGTTTGAGCGCAGCACCTCACCACGAGCTGCAATTTAGAACGAAATATTCACGCCAGCGTGGTTGAAGGATCTCACTCGATTGCAGAAAGTACTTCGATCATTTGAACGAAGTTCCCTCTATAACTTCCAGATGATGGGCCTTCGCTCGAAACAGCATCAGGACCACCGAGAGGGGGCAGGGGGCTTTTTGCACCAGGCCCCAGCACAAATGGGGACCCAAAAGCGACGAAGGCTCTTTAAATTTCTTGATACAAGATTGCTTAATGAAGAATAAAAATCCTAGCTACGTCAGTGCTGGATAATATGCAATACAGCGTAAAAAATTTTATGTCGTAAAACACAGCTTCTCCCGTCTAACAATTATGACGACATAGCGGCCCTTGGAAAATTATATGAAGTCATAGGGGCCCCTGGGAAAGTTTTGCCCCAGGCAACCTTTCGGCGGCCCTGCCTCACAAGGTAATATCTTAAATGTGAGATTCCAGTTTAGGTTACGTTCAACCGTTTGTTTGAAGCGAGCAACTTCTTTTCTTTCTATGTCCAAAACAAGTTTCCTTGTCGAAAAAAAAACTGGAGTCCTTCCAGTAAACCGATATATACTCGGTGAAAACCCATGACTTCTGGTTAAGCGTTAATATAATTTTTCGCATTAATGCAATACGATAACGACTCTAACGACTGCCGTAACACATGTTAATATTTTTAAATACTTACTTCTTTTCATCGGAAAGATCGCAGTTTGTACCAAACTTAATGATTCTTCGGGTTCCTCTTTTCTTTCTGTCACATCGAAAAAATATAAATAAACGTCAACTACAAGGAAGAATTTTTAGTCCTCCAGGGTTCACTGACGCCGAGAGATCTTAGTTTTGGCTTACTCCAGGGCTGATCATACGATCCCCATTACCGAGACGGCTATAGACCAATGTGTCTGTTCATATTTGAACGTTGGACAAAATGTCTGGACAAAATTTGAATGTTGCTACTTACAAGTCTAAAAGTACAAATATTGCAAGCACGCCACGTTGTAAAAAACGTTATAAGTTATTAACAGTATAAGTTATTAACATAAACTGTACTTGTAGATGTATATATATGTAGTATAGATAAATAACACAGTATTTGATATATCTTTGTAAAACAATCAGACAATATTTACTGAGTAAGGTTAGTGACAATTTTTCTTGTCAAGGCAATCGAGCTGGCGTGTTTTTATGAGATTCCAAGAGCCAGCTCCTTTTCTTACGAACGCAATGCAATTTTGTACATTAATCATATATAGAGGGAAAAATTACTCAAATATGATTGGCTAATGATGAGAGCATTTTTTCTTAATTCAGGGAAAAATTACTTGTACCTGATCGGCTGAAACGCAAGCGCGGGATAATGTTATTGAAGAATTAAAAAACTTCTAGTGAAAACTCGAACACTGAAAAAGTACAATTTTATGGGTTGGAGTATTTAAGAAATGGGCAGCATTAAGGAACAACGGCGAAGACATGGAGACATACGAGGTTCAAGAACTTGACACGTTCACAATTAACTTACGCGAATAAATTTTGCCCTCGATGATTACCAAGTAATCGCACAGTTCATCGTAAAATTTAGGTTTAATTTCACTTGTGTTTTCAAAGTTTCACAAATTTCCCTCGTCGCTTCGTGACTCGGGCAATTTGTGAAACTTTGAAAACACGCGTGAAATTAAACCATAATTCTACTCGACGCCATGCGATTACCAATATAAATTTCACCTTCTGATATGAAATGAATGAAAAACAATATAACCTTTTCTGACCAGACGACGAAGAATCACTATCTGACAGATTACGTTCTTGATCTTCCTGTTTATAAATAAAAGAAAAATTGTTTAATAATATATCAGGCACATTATCCTGAAAATAGTCTGGGTACGACTAGTCATTGAAGCACAAAACCGATGTCAGTGCCAGATACTTCCCGAAGGGAGGAGGGGGGAGGGCAAATTAGGTTGCCAATATATGGCCAGCTTTTGTAGCAGGAAATCGCAGTTTTGATCTTTTTTCCCTTAATTTCGTAAAATACATAGCTTAATTTATAGCCTAACAATGCTTTCATTGTTGAAAAATTGTTACAGTTTTCTTACAAAGTTATTCAGCTATATTTTGAAAAGCTTTCAGAAATTATTTTGGAGTTATATAAAAGAAATGAATGTTTTCATTTGTGCAATGGTGAAATATACTGTATATTCATTGGAAAATCCCACCTTTCACTGCATGAAAATATTTTTATCATTGCACTCATAAACATTCATTATTTGTATAATATTTCATATTTTTGTGATCCCATTCTTAGCATTTATGTTCAACTGTTCAACTCGTATCTTTAATATTTGCGCTTAATACAAGACGTTTAATTCGTCAATTCGACGTCGTCTAGTATAGCCACGGTCAATAACTAGGGATCCAAGGATAGTGTGAAGTTTCAAATTTAAAAAGGCACTGCAAGAACTATATAGGGTCGCCGACAACCTAGAAAAGCTTGATGGCTTACACTACGAAATAAACTGTTACCAAAGGCATTTCATCTCATTATTTATTGCTTTTAATACGCTCGGCATACGAGTAGCGTGACGTTTGAAACAAACACATCAGAACGTGCCTTGTGAAACTGATGCAATTCATCTATTTATTGTGTCACCAACAACCAAATTTTGCATATTCTAAATTTTCATTTGCATTTGCAGCTGTCGCTGAAAGCATCCCCACGAGGCTACTGCTATGCTAAATTTATCTAATAAACTATAATTGAAATAGATGTATAAGATATGTTATGAATAATAAGCACTACGTTGTTACATCATTAAAAGACGCATTTTATCGTTGTTATCCGCATATCCGTTCCGTGGATCCGCTCCATCCGCCTCCGCATTTTAACTTAATTGTGACATGTTTCACAATAACAAGTTTCATTGACCTTTGACTTTTCACAGTGTGACGTGTCTATTTTCAGCTTTTCGCATGTGTTGAATATAAATATCACTTTAGATTTCAATAGTTTCACATAGTTATAGCAGTGTTTAAAACATTTTTGACAAGCTTTGATACAGTTCTGTGTACAGAATACTACAGATTGATTCTCGTAAGATCTGGTAGAGTTATCGTTGCACTGAATACGAGTTTGCACCGTTGACAACGGCGTTGTGCTAGACACTAGACAGTAAACAAAGACAAGGACAAGGTCCGTGAATGTACACGTTGGCTACATGTACCTCCTTGCTTTTTCTTCTATTGCATAAAGCTTGTTGGCGAGCCAATTAAGCGATTAGCGATAACACGTTGGCGATAACACCTAAACACGTTGGCTATCTCCTCGTCTTTCTTATTTATACAACAAGCTCTGACTCAACTGATTCCTTTAGTGTCGTAAGTTTTTTTCTTCGTAAACGCCGTACAAACGTTTACCCGCTTCTGTTTAATAGTTGTTTATGCTTTATTGATCTGATACAAATCTGATGCAATTTTTCGCTCTTTGTACTGCATGAGTATAGCCATCTATTCTGTGATGTAGCACCTTATACAGTGAATGAGAATGTACAATGAATACACGGTCTAAATAATATCGACGGTAATGCATAACATCAATTTATATATTGTATTACTATTATTGCGTAGAATCTCAAAGATTTTCTCAATATTCATGTCTGAAATCTTTATATACTTGAAAACAACACTGTCTCGCTTCTGCCTACGTACTGTACCTCTGTATAATGAGAATACCGTGAAAATAATATCGGCACTTAAATGAATGCCTAGAATCAAGATATTCGACTCAATATTTACGTCTGAAATGTTTACACACTTGACTGCACTGTCTAGGCGGTCTAGCTCCTTCCTAGCTCTGTATAATGAATATACCGTCTAAATATTATCGGCA